GGGCTTAAAAAGTGCTAAACTTGTAGCACTTTTGTAAATGACATACTAGCCCACAAGAAGTGCAGTCCAAGATGTGGTGAGCAAATTAAGTCAGATTCATGGGATTTTAAAAGGCTGGGGCGTGGAAGTCAATGGAATCAAGGTAGCCACAAACGTGGTTATAGCAGGGGCTTTATCGTGAAAAAGTCAAGTGTGCACTTTTAAACGTATTTTTGTCATCTGCACATGTACAGAAGTCAAATATTGGTTTCTGCACATGCACGAACAGTGAAAAATGCACCTTCTGACTTTCTCAAAATTTAGCCCCAGTAGTCACCCAAATTTCTGGAACTTAAGGCATAAAAGGGACTCTTACAATGACAGAGATAAAGAAGATGTCAAAAGGTAGAAAGCGTCTGACCAAGGCTGAAATAAAAATTAAAGAAAACGCGTTGAAATCGAATGAAGGTAAAACTCTGACGTTGATCGAGCTCCTCAAAACTGTGTTTTCAAACTTTGCTAATTAGGTAAATAATTTAGAATCAGATGGGACTGATAAAATAAAATTTATTGCTGATTCAGGAGCAACCGATCATTTTACTCAGTCGGAAAAATTATTTATAATCTTGACAGAATAAAAATTGGAAAAATTAAATGTGCAAATTCAGACTCATCAGCTGATTTTAAAATAAAGGGAGTGGGAAGTCTGCAACTTAGGAATAGTAATAATGAGGTTGAGTTGAACGGAGTAGTTTGTGCTCGGAACTTGGTCGGAAATTTACTCTCCTTACGTATATTTGCTGACATGGGTCTGTTCATCTATTAAGATGATTAAGAAATTAGCATTTTTAATTCTGAAACAGAAAATGTCTGGATTTCAGGAATATACTAAAAACCGTACTGAATAGTCGAATTCATGAAGTAGGATAGACAGTTTGTACAAAGACAGATTGGAAGAGGTATAAGATTGAAAATACTAACGGCAGAGTTCGAAGCTCAGACTGGTCCTGAAAAGTCAGCTTTGGAATAAGTATAACTGATAAGTTGGGGAGCTTGATTAGAACGATTAGAAAAGGTGACAGTTTTTTTGATTGTGTGTTCTTGATACAAGATAGGAAGTTTCACGATGTCGGGATAATAGAAACTGAGTTAATAAGCAAAGTGCAGAGCCCTTTCACCGAAAAATATAAAGCATTTATAGATAACAACGGGGAAATGTTATGGCATATTAGGTTAGGATATGCGTGATTGGGATATTTCAGAGAGCTGCAGAAAGCATATCCAGACATAAAAAGTCTGTAGGAGGCTGTTTTTAGTGACGCAATGAGGATGTGTGACATCTGTCTTACAACAAAGTCTCAGAAACTACCTTTCCCCTCCGTGCAAGAAAGAGCAGACGGACCACTTCAGATTACTCATTCTAACACAATGGGAGTAGTAAATCTGACACCCTTTCCGGAAAAAAAAAGTAATTTCTGTGTTCATTGAGGATTTCTCGAGATTTGCTGTGGCGTACCCCATAAAGAACAAAAAAGATACGGGTAAATGTCTAGAAAAAATTTTATCAAAAGCTGTAAAAATTTTCTAGGATATGATACTAAAGTCTGTTATCTGAGGTCAGGCTAGGGCATACAATTCATGGGGGGCCCATTCGAAAAGAACTGGACAGCCTTGAAGCTGAACTTCAACTGAGCTGTCCGGATACCCCTGAATTAAATGTTACGTCGGAAAGACTGAACTATACTCTCCAAATGAAAATCTGAGCTCTCATATGTGACTTGGGACTCCCGGAAAACATGTGGGACTTGGCTTTAAACGTAGTAGTCTTTGCGTATAACTACACTCCACACCGCTCGAGCAATTTTAAGATTCCCTTTGTCAGATGAAGTAAGGTTTTACGAAAGCAGGGACGTCAGATATAACAAGCATCTCGTGTATGGAGATGCATACGGTGAAAGTTCAACTAAAAGTTAGGAGAAAGAGATTGTAGACATTAAATTAGATGAGTGATTTTTGACTTTCGAAAAAGAAAGAGAAGAGATATCAACAAGGGATGAAGAGTCTGCAGTTTTACAAAAAAAATCAGGGAGGCTGAAAAAGTCAGTAGAAATGGAAGTATGAATTGTAAAAACAATTCCTGCTTACAAAATCTTGGTTCAAGACGTTAGTTGTGCGGGTTGCTCTCGCTAAAAATCTAATGAAAAATCTAACTTCCAAAAAATATAATGCGGACATGTCAGAAAGATACGATACGTCTGCAGAAGATCTAACCTATTACTTACTGATGGCTGAGATAAACAAAGATCCGTAATCATAAAAAAAATGCAATGAAGTCAGTGGACCGAAAAGACTGGATTTGAGCGATACAAGATGAGCTCGACTCAATGGTGAAAAATAGTGTCTGGATTCTTGAAGAAAGACCTGTGGGACTTATAAACGGCAGACGCCTCAATGTAAATGACTCTCGCTGGGTGCTCAACAAAAAGGTTGACTCCCAAGGACAAAAAAAACGCAAGGAACGGCTGATAATTCGGGGATTCAAAGACAAAAATAAATACGATTTGACAGAAACCTACACCCCGGTGTCGAGATTGACCTTGATCAGAACGGTTCTAGCTCTGGTCAATAATTAAAACTTGGATACCTGTCAACTAGATGTAAAAACAGCCTTCTTGAATGGTACTCTAGATAACGAAATATATATATGAAGATACCAGAAGGTTTAAACTGCATGGACCAAGAACGTCAGAATAAAGTCTGTAAGCTGCAAAAAGCCTTGTATGGGCTAAAGGTCAGTCCAACAAAATGGCATAAAAGATTTTCGGAAGTAGAAATTGAAATGGGTCTGAAGTCACACATTTTAGAACCATGCCTGTTTACTTAGCATGAGGCAGATAAAATTCTTATTTTAGTTCAACATGTTGATGACATGATCATTGCAAGTAATGATCTAAATCACTTAAAGTCTGTTAAATAAAGTCTGTAAAGCGAATTTGAGATGACGGATCTCAGTGAAGTAGAATCCTTTCTGGGTATCAAGGTCAGAAGAGAAAGGGAGATCCAGGTTTTAACCTTGTCTCAGACTGATTGTATAGATAAAATTCTGGCTAAATTTGAATTCGAAGATTCAAAACCTGTGAGAACTTCCATTGTTACTGGGCACGTGTGAAATCATCAAAGAAAATGAAGAGAACAATCTGAAAGGTAGAATGATTTAAAAGAGACAAAATTAACAGAAAACGTTTCTTACTGAGAGGCTGTGGGCTGTTTATTATATGTAGCTAACATCGTACGTCCAGACATTAGCTTTGCTGTAAATATAATCAGCCAACATCAGATAAATCTAACTAATGAAAATCGGAGCATGGTAAAAAGAGTTTACTCGTACTTGACAGGCACTAAATCTTTTGGTTTAAAGTTATTAGGAGGACAGAACAATTTAGAAGCATTCTCAGAAACCAACTTTGGTGATTGCAAGGGATCTCTAACGACGAGTGGACATGTTATCAGGCTCTCTGGAGACTCCGTTGCCTGGTGAACTCACAAATAGACCTATGTGGCATTGTCTACTTATCAGGCTGAATATGTGGCATTAAGTGAAGTTTGTAGAAAGTTGATGTCAGTGGGCACTTCCCTTAAAATCATCCAAAACAAACCTTGGTGTCCGGCTGATTTGTGGTGTGACAACAAGGCAGCCGAATTAAACTTAAAGATAAGTGGGAGTGGCAAATTCAGATATATGACCAAAATACATGAGCATTATGTTAAGAAATGTGTAACGTATGGTCGGGTAAGGGTTAAATGGGTAAATATGAAAGAACAGACGGCAGAAATTTTTACAAAACTTTTGCCTATCGAGCTCCACGGAAAATTCAGAAATTATATTTTCAATAAAGTCTGTAACCAAAATAAATGATGGATATAAAACATTTTGTTTAAGACAAAAAGTAAGGTGTTCGCTGGATGACTGTAATTCCTGGCTTGTTTGAACCTTGTTTTCAGTGCCATGGAAAATTGAAAATTAAAATAGTTCAAATATGTGAAATAAAATTGTGTCTATTTTTGTACATTCACAGTTTATTAGCTATCTCAAGTCAGGAGGGAGTGTTAAAGTGCACGACTGTATTGGTAGGATGTAGGCATATACGAGTGTATGTGTGCGTGTGTTTGAGGAGAGGCATAAATAGTGGCAGTCAGATGTGCAGCAGTTCTGATTTGACCCTAGTTAAGTGTGCACACTATACTTCGCTCTCCTTGACAATTTAAGTCTGTATGCATAGAAAAGTCTGTTGTAGTCAGTTTTCAGTTAGTTTTGTCAAGTCAGTTCAATAAATAATAATTAAAATTAAATCTGCTCGGTCGTCTTCTCATTTTCCTTAAGCCATAACCCTTTATTGAGGGTACACTTTATTATTTGTAACATGTTAAACTTGCCCAAACTTTTACTTATGTTAATAGGTAAATTTTATTTACCACTTAATATATTCTTATTAGCCCATACATCAATATCAGGGTTTGTACTTAGGCTCTATCTTTTATCTTTAAAAATAAATCTAACATTCGACACTATGTAATTAATTCTAGAAAATATAACAATGACAATAATAATTCTTGTTTTTAGGGATTTTATACGTATGTAGCCTATAGAGACGAAGCAGCTTAATTATCAAAGACTACATTTATCATGATAAATCTTTGTATCTTGATAAATTTCATTTAATATAAGTATTTGATATACTTTTTACGCCATTTTATTTCAACAAATCTGATTGATCGCTGATTATGAATCAAAAACTAGTAGTTACACATTCTACTTTTTGTTTTACACATTATACTAAATACTGTAGATTAATGACACAAAAAAACATTTTACAGTTTAAAGCAAGAAATAATTTCAGTTAATATTAAGCATTAACTGAAAAAAACACACTTAAATTTACTACACTTTTAAATCCTTTTGGTGAGCAATACGTTACTTAACGCTAAATTTATTTTTTTGCAACAAACAATTTTTGTCTTACCTATCAAAACATTCTTGTGTGGCGTCAATTGCAGGATTATTGTTGGGACATAGAGAAAGTTCAAAATATCCTTGATGATTAGATGTCAGTTCTACTTCAATGTCAATTTCCTATGAACAAAATTTAAAGAAATTTCTTATTATAACAGATGTCTTAAAACATATTTTTTACACATTATAAATAGATTGTGACTTCTTCTTAAAAAAAAAAAAAAAGAAATTGTATAAGATTGATGTTAAATAATTGTATACGAAAAGTAACAAAAATTAATAAACGTCAAATACAGAATTTTTTTTAAAATTTGACCTAAACATTGAAAGAGTCAGAGCTTTACACAGTGTTGCTTAGTTTTGCAAGGTACGTAAGAAGATAATGATATAAATTTATACTCTAATTAGCACTGCAGTAAAAATGTTGGCATACGAGTGTTATACAATTTTGGACAATTAAAAGAACTTATTATTCATTCACTTTTTCGCTTCTATTCTAAGATTTATAAGCTGTCATTTCGTTATTCAGATTTTATAACATGATTGATTTCATATTTAAATTCCAATATAGTTATGAAAATGTTTTTATGGTATGCCTAAATGGTCAAAATAGAAGCACGTAATAGATGCCTCAGTCTTCCGTTTGCCATTTTAATTAGGCTTGTAACATCAAAAAACTTCCGTTGACACTTTCCGAAAAAATGCAGATTGATTGGCATGTTTTTCCAACCTATACGTATCCTACTTACTAAAACAATGCTAGGTGGTTCAATTGGCTACTCGGTCGTGGGCAGCATGCAGGAGGAGGCCGTGGTTCAAATTGCAATGAGATGTGTCTTTTTCGAGCAACTACCTCTATGAATTTTCAGATATGCTTTCTTACCACGGAATGCTTTTCGTGAAGAAAATAGGTGAACTTCTCGCAGCAAAATGGCCTATTTCCTTCAATCCCCTCTCTTAGAGGAAGCTCTCTTATCCCTTTTTATTTCTCCACCGTAGTGCTCAGTTCCCAGACTTGTGCTTCTTATCAGAGATTATTATATATTAGCCGGAATTATAGCACTATTATACAAAAAAAAAAAAAAAAACGAAAAAGTGTTTCTAAAATAACTTTACTTCACTTGTTTAAGATCAAATTAGCCGATACCACTTTAAATTAACTTCATATCTTCCGTAAACCTTTTACCTAAAGTTTGTCTCAATACTTTCAGTTTTTTTTTCCCTGAATACTCTTACTCACACAGAAATGCCCAAACTTATTCTTCCTCCTAGTTAACCTCATTTACTGTACATAGTAATAGTTAAGTGGCATCCATTAATAGGTGCTAAGAGAGTAAGACTGTTTGTCTCAAAAGTACTAAAACTTTTATGCTCCCAGTTTCCCAAAACGCATAGCCTTCCATTCACAGTAATCGCACTAAATTATACAATTATAGCCCTAACTTCATTGATTTCTGAAGTATATGACCAATTAAGTAAGATTTTTCTATTCTGTACTTTAAAAGTTATACTTTTATAGGCACACGCTGCGCAAGAGTAAATCAATGACTTCAGATCTTGCGAAAAAAAAGGACGGAAGTAAGTTTACTGTTTTACTTTCCTTTCATTCTGCCCCACATAGTGGAAAGTAAATCATTATTTTTGCGTTTAAAATACTGCCAAAAGCTCATATCTTAACATATTTTTGTAAGTATATTGTTTAATAACTAAATCGTACTTGTACTTTTATGAACAAATCCACATTCTTTGACGTAGCTCAAGTTAATCTCAAAATAAATTTAAAAAACCAATAATATTATGTTACGTCGAACAAGAAAAAATGTGCAATAAGCAAATTAAGTTCAAAATTTAAAGTACTCATTAATTGCAATATCATAATGCTGTATAATTAAATTTAACTTTCTTATGAGACCAAAATTTTTTTTTGACGTTAAAAATACGAATAACTTACTTTTCTGGTCTTTAAAGAAATACAATACATAAAAATTAAAAATAAATTTTTTTTTATAGACTCTTTGTCATACATAACATAAAACATCGGTTCATACCTAAAAATTTTAAGAAACAAAGAAGTTAAGAAAATTAAATTATCGTCACAAGCTTTGAATACGACTAACTTCTTACTGACATTTAAAACTGTTATCTCAATGTTGAACCATAAAACTTGTTAAAATACTATACTACGATAAGCATAGAGCTTATCAATAAATGAATGCTAAGGCGATATTTTTTTGTGTAGCTAAGATTTCTGTAGCACAAGATAATATAACCTTAAGAAAACAAAGATTTTTGATGCAGCTTAAGCAGAAAATACAGAATATACTATTCTTACATAGAAGGCCAGATTAGCCATTTTTACGTCCAATTTTTTCTTTATATTTTAGTTACATCCTCTATTTGGCAGGTAACGTTAGTGTCGAGGGATAACCGGGTAACTTACCCATAGATGCCGATAACTATTACCTTCCGAGCAGCACGGCAAAATGCCTGTTTATCAGTATCCTATATATTACTGATTTATGATACGAAACTACTAAAAAACACATCTAAACTACAAATAATTAAGTTGATTGTTGAATATGTCATTCTGCTCTCAGTTGTTTCCATGATGACTTGAGGGTCAGTACCCAAGTACACAATCAGTAAGAGCTAAATTGGGAGTACGAGTGAAAATTCCACAAAATCAGATGTTAGTTCGAGCAATGATTTGTTGGTCTGAACGCCAACCTCATCAGGCTCAGTCTATATCGTTAAGACGATCGTTACGTAACGATTTTTACTCCCAAATTAGCTTTTACTGATCGTGTGCTTAGACCCTGAAGTCATCTTACAATTAATTAATAATAAATGGATAATAAAAAAAAAGTCTTACATTAATTTTTCTCTATATGCATATCAAAAGCTCATGCAGGAGCACCTAACCAAATTTTACAAAATCTCCAAATAACGAAATTGTTTCGCATCAAAAATCAGTAATATATAGGATACTGATAAACAGGCATTTTTCCGTGCTGCTTGGAAGGTTATAGTTATTAGCATCCATGGGTAAGTAACCCGTATATCCCTCGATACTAACGCTGCCTGCCTAGTAGGGGGTATAACTAAAATAAAAAGAGAAAATGCTGCGGACGTGAAAGAGCCGATCTGGTTTTATATGCAAGAAGAGTATATTCTACATTCTCTGGCTTAAGAGTACAACATAAGCTTACAAAACAAGTTTTATAATATGTCCGTTTATTTTACAATACCTTATTTTATTACTCTCACACTTATTTAGGGTACCCTAAGAAAAAAACATCGTCTATCAAATAACTTAATAAATCTGAGATTAATAACTTATACATTTCATACGTCCAATAGATATATAAGCAAATATTGATGCATCTTTCTCATTGTATCGAGAGGTGCATATGTATAAATGGTGGTACTTCTTATGCAAGCACTGTTTATTTCATTTATACATACTCTTTCTAAATATCTAGTTTACTGAAGATTTATTATACTAAATCACATAATTTCGTTTCTAAGAAATTTTTTTCGGGAATAAGTAAAAATAAAAAAAATATCTTCCCTGGGTTCAGATCAGACACGCAATGTTCTATTGACTAGGTAATTGCTCCACTATTTGAGCTACCAAGGAGCCGTATATTTACTCGCACCGTAGGTTTAGAAAAGTTCTCATTATTAATTTTTAAGCTTTCTTTCACCTAAGCTCAGTATAGTAGGTGTATAAATAATGCTTGTAGGTAAGTTTGAGAATTAAAACGTCGAATAAGTATAGTGGAGGGCAAAGCACGTTAAGCAGGGTTGCAGAGTGGGACACCTTAATAAGATTAATATTCATGCACGTTAAAATAAGAATTTTTAAAGAAAGTTACTAAAAAAGCTCTTACTATTATCCTCTAAGTTTTTAATGTCATGAAATAACGTTTTATATTTATTTATCAAGTAATTTTTAAATGTAATGTGCTAACAAAAGGTTTCCTTTATTTCTCAATAGCTTGAAGCAAGTGTTAGATTTTGTAAACAAAAATGGGTCAATTCAATAACTCAGGTCCTTAACCTTCTTGTCCAAGGATTTTTTTTATTCTAAAATTCATAAGAGTACCGTAATAAACAATATGAAATTGTGGCAGTACAAATAGTATAAAATATTCAAAACATAAATTATATAGACATGGCACTTTGGGTAGGGCAGGTGTAGCACAGTGAACAGCCATAAGGCTTATAAGTCGGCTGCCTGGATTGTCTGCTAATTTAATACCTAACCTTATCCGTATGTAAGTAATACAAGATGCTTTAAGTGCTGACTTTCAATGATTAGTAATTGACGTAGTTGATTACACCTACTAAATTATATCAAGTGTGCCTCTAAAAAATATAATACGTCGAAACATGACAGTTTTGTAATACATGTACACACACGCGTGCGCTCGAACGTGTGTGTGTGTGAGTATGTGTGTGTACATTAAATACATTACGTAATAATGTTTGTTTAGTTATAAGAATACTTTCAACTAAGCCATACGCTTAGCACTTCATAACCACTGTGCTACGCGTGCCCTACCTTATGCCACGTTGTGTCCTTCGATGCGGTAAGGGGAGAAGTTTTTAAACTTATTTTGAGCAATTTTTTGCCATTAATAATAAATTAAAACAAAAATTTTTTTTTTATTTCTAGAAATTTTAAGCAATTGCTTTTGTTCATTTCTATTTTTAATAGTTACACATTTACAGTCTCTTAATGCAATTTTCCAGTAATGTTAGGGTGCCGCACCTGCCTTATCCCCTCCTTTCTACAAGCAAATATTAATACATATTCATTATATTATTAAAAAGCATATATGTATGGATGAGAGCACTTTTTATAAAAGCACTCGTTACATCATACACATGCCCTTTCCCAATCTTTAGTATACTAAAAATCCATAACACTAATCCAGATGACTTCTTTTTCAAGAAACTTTTCTAAGGAACAAATAAAATTAATAAATTTCTTACTTACCTACAAGCATTAGAGTCGTATACCTTCTATATGAAGCTTAGGTGAAAGGCAGCTTAAGAATTTAGCATGAGAACTTATCTAATTTTACGGTGCAAGTAAATGTACGCCTCCTCGA